GAACTTCCATAAAGATGCAGAATTGTGGGAGAATCCATTATTAATGAAATGGAATTATTGGAGTCTAATAAGACTTAAAATCTTGTAGAGTTACCTCTGGTTGAAAAGCCTTGGGTAATATATTGATAGAATCGAACAAGATTTGGCATCTTTGAGAATTACCTGTTGGCAATGAAGTCATGAGTAATAGATGGATTCTTAAAAGAAAAAATGAAACATATTAGTTTAGTTTATGATTATAAGGATCGCCTAATAGCTAAGGCTTTAAGCGAAAAGGAAAAATTGTAAATTTTCTTGTTATCTATTCGCCATATGTAGAATAACATCCATGTATGTTCTGATTGCTAGTGTTGTGCGTCAGATGGATTGTTAAACATGTTTCTGTGAATGGTGATTTAGATAGGAAAATCTACATGGCACAACCTATAGGGTTGTTATTCCTGAACATGCTTAGGGAGTCTATAGTTAGACAAATCATTGTAAGATTTGAAATAGATTCTAAGACGATGGCATAAATAAACTGGTTATCTCTCATGGTTTTAAAAGTGAAAGTCACAAGTGCATTTAGTACAAGAGAAATTTTACAATGCTATATAGTATTGGTGCTATAGGTTTTTGCCTTTATGGTACAACTTAAAATTGTACATTTACGTTATGGTACAACTTCATATTGTACCTATACTTTTTGTACAAATTCTTTTATGGTACAACTTGAACTTGTACCTTTATGTGATGGTACAACTTCAAGTTGTAAAGTTGTACCATAACATAATGGTACAAATTGTTTTATGGTACAACCTAAACTTATACATTTAATGTTATGGTACAATTTTGAGTTATACATTAAAGCACCAATGCTATATAGCATAGTAGAAGTGCTCTTAGTACAAATTTGAGAATGACACTTGCATTATGAATGACACGTCGATCTTTAGTACAAAGACACGTAATGTCAATTTTGAAAAACCATGATGTTTGAGAATTATGAAGGTAAAAAGATCTGGATGAAGCAAGTGTTATGCTCGGAGATCCAGATTACTAGGACAATGAAAGAGATTTCATCTAGATCAGTTTTAACTACACAGTTAGATCTAGAGGAAATACGAGTTCTACACCTGCATAAATGTTTGATGGTGCTAGTATAATTTTTAAGGGCACCAAAGACGGTGTAAGAAAGTAAGAACATACTAGCATTGACAGTCTGCGAGAGGCAGCTGATAAACATGAGACCCGACATAGTGGGGGTACTTGGCAGGCTTACTGATTGTCCTAGTATGAAGCATTGAAAAGCTATTGAAAGGGGTCATGAGACACCTTAAAAGAACAGAAAAACCTTGGTATTTGTTATCAAAGGTTTTGCTGTATTGGTAGGGTATAGTGATGCGGATTAGAATACCCTATAGAGGACTCCAAGACAACAAGAGGCTGTGTTTTAAACATCGATAGAGAAGCTATGTCTTGGAAGTCTAAGAAGTAAACGATCCTGGCTCAATCAACTAAGAAATCAGAAATAATAGAACTAGCAATGGCTAGTAAAGAGGAAAGTTGATTGAGAGGGTCACTACTAGAGATTCCCTTATGGGAAAGACCGATCCCTCCGGTAGTTGATTAATTGTGATAGCACCGCAGCTATTGCAAAAGAAGGGAACCGGTTCTAGAACGAAAAGAGACGACTAATTTGTTGTAAGCACAGTACTGTAAGAGAACTCCTAACGATAGGAGCAATGAGGGTGGATCATGTAAGATCCTAACATAATCTAGCTGATCCTTTGACGAAAGGATTACCTAGAGAGAAAAGTCCAAAATACCACGAAGGGTATGAGACTTATGCCTAACGAACCATGGATTACAAGTGATGGTAACCCGACCCGATAGACTGGAGATCCCAAGAAACGGGTTCAATGGGTAATAACAAGTCATGAGTAATATTGAGAAAAGTTCATGCATAGTGAAGCATGAATCCCAAAGCCTTGGAGGTTGATTAAACTCTTAATGAGATCTATACTCTATGTGGAGTGAAGTACTTTACTTTGGGGGTATTTCTGATAGACTCACCTATGTGAATGTGGGAGTGAGGCCGCTCCCTATGGAACTTTGGAGGCACAAAGTTGCTAGAGCGTTCACTAAACCGGGATAACGTGCAGGGCCATAAACGCACGGCCTATGAGAGAATATCACTCAATGAAAAGATCCGGTGTGCTACATTGTCTGAGATAGGGTTCAAGACTACGAGTCACCCTTATGAAATCGGAAGTGTAACCACTACGCTAAGGTTCAAATCTTCGCGATACCTTAGCTTATGCCCAATCTTATGGAACTGTTGATGCTCAAGATAGTTTCAAAACTATTCAAGTGGGGGATTGTTGGGATGAATAGCTTTGAAAAGCTATAATGAAATTCCTAATTAATTATCCAGTATTTTTCCATAATACGAAATTAAGATGGATAATTAATAAAAGGAATATTTGGAGATAATTAGGAATAATTATCTTAATAGATTATATTTTAATTATGGGAGTAATTATCTCCCTAATTAAAATGTGACTTATTCCCAAAGAAAGAGGGAATATTCTGGGTTTTCTGCTCCTATAAATAGGAGACGCCCCAGACCCTTTAAACACACCTCAGAAGAGCAAAAACACGAGAGAGAGAGTGAATTCATAGAGCTCCGGTTTTTCGCACAAAACCGATGAGCAACAAAATTAGAATGACTGTTTTATCCTGGAGGCAACCGGCTGATAGTCTGCTGTGCGCAATACGAGGCAGTGCCGCGAACGTCTTAAAGAGAGCGACCTAGTCCGCGACTCAGCCAGATCGGTAACCCTAATTTTTCTGTTCAGTATCTAACAGTAAGTAGTTAGGCTAGTTGTTAGAGTAGTTTGGTTAGCTTAATTTCTTAATTAGTATCCTTGTTTTGGCTAGATAACAAACCAAAATTGAAGTAACGATACATTTGGAAATCCCAAGACTTGATAATTTTATTACTTGCTTCCACTATACTACTCCTGATAATTAGTTACTCTTGATAATCATCTACTAAAAGTGTAATTAGAGACGAGTCATTTAGTTCAAAATGTCATATAACTTTCAAAACTATTAACACCAACCCGAATTATACATGGTACAATTGTGGCAGTTATATATACTCGATGCTGTAATAATATATTCTAGTTGTAAAGGAGAGGCGGCCGCTCACCACTCAGCACCGTCACAAAAGTTTGAAAACTTGAATTCCGTTATACGTTCGCAAATGGCTGGCTGTACATGTTCGCAACAAATAAAAACAATTCTCGACGGCTCTCAAACAAAATATGTTAAATGTTGCATGACACATGAGCTAATAAATAATAAATGATAATGATAAAAAAAAGGGGAACTCTATTTTATCATAAGCGAATCATATTTTAAAATACTAAGATCAAGATCGGGTCAAAATTTCAACACTTGACCAGAATCTCGCTACTGCCAGCCCCCACGCACAGCCGTCGACTTCCAAGACAAATACACGCCGGTACACTAGCCAACATTTTCATTTATACATTTTTATTTATCCAAGGTTTTAATTTCTCTCATATTATATATTTGTATCCCTAAATACAAGCGGTTGTTTGTTGATAGATTTGGGAAATAAAAGGCTTTGATTAAAACATGAGATTTATAATATCACAAATTTAAGATGAAATTCGTTCATTATGAATTTGAACCGAACATAAATTTTGCTCAATTATATTGTTTCTTATCCTATATATTGAGAATATATGGATAATATTCTTGTGATTCTCTTTCGAATCTCTCTTTTACACCTAATTATAAAATTCTCAAACACATGGGAATAAAAAGATTAGAAAAATAAAAAAAAATACAATGATTGGAGGGGTCAAACTAGCGTATGTCAGCCTTATACTATATGTCAGGTACTACTAGCTAGTGAGATATCTCTATCTAGATCATGAATTAAATCGAGTTTATGGTATGATACTATACTCTAACCTCTAATGGATAAACCCCAGACCATTGGCGGAGCTAGGTTAAGGGTTGTGGGGTCCATGGACCCCACTTGGAAAATAAATATACATTAAGAATTGTGGATTTTTAAGGTGGGGTTAGTAAATTTAGAACCACGGGCCCCCTCTTTCTGAGACAATGATTTTACTATCGAGTTACACTTCGTATTTGGTTATGTTTGGACCCCACTAAATTATATCTCTGGCTACGCCAATGCCCCAGACACCGATTTTTTAAACCCCAACCCGAAGTTTGATTTAATGAAAAACAAAAATTGACTGTTGAGATCGGCCATAGCTCATCTAAGTACGTCTAACGATTAGATCACCTGACGTATAGTATACGCCTGACGTACACCAGTCATTACCTGATTGGAGAAGCAAGTTTAAAATTATGATAGCCCGAAATTTAGTGAAATAGAAAAATGACCCTTCTGAGGTAACAAACGACATTTTTGACGAGGAAGGAAGTAACTAACGCCCCTCGTAAGTTTTTGACCTAAGATGTAGATCGCCAAGTTTTCCGTCTACTTTCGACGGTTAGATCGATGTATTCATTAGCGATCAAAATGGTTCGCTTGCTTCTGTTTCCAACAATTCACATTGGTTAACTTGTATCAACCATGAATTCGTGATACACACAGATTCAAGGCTGGTTCACTTCTGTCTGGCTTGAACCGATTCGGTTTGGGCCAACCCGATGTAGATCGATCGCCCCCCCTGACTTTTGATCATAAACTTTTCGCAAAGTGTTGTATTGTGTGAATTTATTTAATTAACCCTTGTACTTGGTGATAAATTCCTCTTTATCGAACACCATCATAGCCACGCCGTCGCCTTAGTTTTGTCCCCACGTTTTACTCCGTCCGCATTAAACAATCTTTGTTCCTTTCCTTCAGTCATCTCATTTCCCGCTACCTTCCTTCCTTCCTTCCCATACATCTCCCCCCGTCTTCTATTCTATATATAAACGATCCATCCAACTTAGTTATCAACATTCCTCTCTTCCGGCCTCGTCACTTAATTATCTCCTCCAAATAGTTGTACTCATGGAAGCCTACTCCTCGTCTTCTTCATCCTCCACGTCATCAATGTACCTGGCTGCTGCCAACAACAACGTTATTACCTCCTCGTCATCGTCAGACGCCCCTCGAAAACCGTTCCATTCATCTCTCCATACGATTCGGAACTCCAACACCAAGAAGCCATGGAACAACAAGAAGTTACCCATCGCTCCGCTGCCGCCGAACCCTCCTAAGGTCTACAAGGTCGACCCATTCAACTTCAGGGACCTCGTCCAGCGCCTCACTGGAGCCGCCGCCGCCGAAGCCAGCCTGCAGCCTCAGTACCAGCAAATACAGCACCCAAGGATTCAGAAGCTTGACCTGCTGGAGAGGCAGCCACAGCCGCCGCCGCCGCCGATGCAGCAGCTTCTTCTCCCGGGTGGATTAGTGGAACGGCAGGAGGGGTCGCCGTTTTCGGGGCTGTTTCGGGAGTTGATGATGGCGGAAAGGTCGTCCTACGTGGAGGAGGATAGTAATAATAATATTAATGATTACTTTTATAATAATAATAATGACATTACGGCGTCGGATAGTTCGGTGGAGCTGAATCTGCTGCCGTCGCCGACCTCTCAACACTGTTGGTTCCCGCAGCTGTTGAGCCCAGCGGGGCCGGGGAACTTGATTTCCGGACTGAATCTATAGGTCTCGATTCCTATGTATATGATTATGATGGTCCTCTCTAGCAGCTATTTCTTTATTCTAGTTCTAATAGTCTTGAATAATTGTAGCATTTTAAACATTAATTAATGGGTTAATTGCAAGGATGGTCACTGGGTTTACTAAAACCGTTCATGTTTGATAACTGCAAATATTTAATTTCATTCATGGTCATTAAGATTAGTTCAATAGTTCAAGTTTAGTCACTCTCCGTTAGTCTCCGTTAGTTTTTTCTGATGTGGCAATCAACTATTATAGTTGACCGTTAAATGAGTGACGTGACCATTAAAAAATAATAAAATAATAAAATTGAAATATTTACAATTTTCACCTCATTTTACAACTATAAAAAAATAAAAATAAAACTTACCTCCGCCATCTACGCCACCGTGGCCATGACGTGATCGTCTCCGCCGCCGCTCCTTCCTCAACGTCGGCCTCGCTTTGCTTCATTCTCCACCTGCCCCGACGGGCATGAGGGAGCGGAGGACTCGGAGGTGCTCGTTCATATGCTTCACGCGGTTCCTCTCCACGGCGATGTGAGTCATGCGCTGCCTCTCCACCTCCTCGCTCGTCTTTATACTCCTCGGCGCCCGCTTCCTCTTGTTGTTGTTCTTCGCCGTCGCCACCGCTGCTCCTTCCAGAACAATACTTGAACCACCCACTTGTTGATCATTATTAACAAACAGCAGCAGTTGCCCCTCCGACGCCTCGGCGTTGTTGCTACCCGAAACCCTAGTCGTAGCGCCATCAAGCCTTATCATCTGAGGAGGAGCTTCTGACGAAGACGACATCATCTTCATCATTAGTTGTTGCTGTTGACGACGTTCATCGACTTGTTCTTCTTCTCCTTCTTGTTGTTCGATGTGATTAGTGTTGGTAATTATCCGGTCGTTGAGAACCGGGAACTTGAGGAAGTAGACGGGATCCTCCATGCTGTTCCCCACCGCCACCGCCTTGTCTTAGTAGTGGTGGTTCACGGGCAGCTTGGGGCGCCCGAAATCCGCCAACTGCATGACGTCGGCGAAGCTCATCAGCTTCTCCAAACCCCGCAAATAAGCCGAACCGCATGGGTGGATTCTGAATTGATAAATCTCATACTCAAAATTATTCGAGTAGGTGGTGAGTGGATCACCCGAATGACCCGCACTATATTTTCACACTACAAAAATATATTTTCTTGTTTATACCATTGAATAGTCATCGTATTTCTTAACCGCATTACACACAAACCATTAACTTCTAATGTCGGGTAAAAATGAATAATTTTGGATTACTATTATTGGTTACTATGATTTGTAATGTCAATTATATATTGGGATACAAATTATAAACTATTAATTGTATCAAAGTTGCAAAATGCGTAAGTTTTCTCTACACAATTGGGTGAGGAAGTAATGAAAATTTGATGCAAATACTATATGCACAGTAGACAAAGTCAAAAGTGTCTAAATTGATACAGTCTTACTAATTTGCGAGGAACTTATTATTAATGTTTGCAGATTTTCTTCATGGCTAATTGGATAATTGTTTTTCCACATTAACTCACAACGCCCCACCCAACCCAACTCTAGATAGTGGGTCACTAATATACTAATTCTAGTAAGCCGACGGGTCAATTTAAGACCAAAATCTATCCAACTCGCCCATTGCCCACCTCTAATGGTATCAAAAATAGTTTGTACTTGAAATCACGTATTTAAATTCTCACAACCCCCAAAAATAATAATTTTAAGCATGTAGTACCCTCAAACGAAATCTAGCTAATAAGGCTGAAGTTTGTACAAGCTCGATAGACTATGTGCTATAGGAAAACTGTTAGTTTGAACACGTTGGTGAAAGATGATAAATGGGGATTAGTTAAATGAGGATAAGAGTTCCCCCATCAAATCTGACCTTCATTCACCTTACATTGGCTAAACAAATACAAGCCCACCACAACACTTCGAGGAATGGAGACAAGAGTTCCTTGTTTGCTTTCTCATTACTTTTAATGATTAAATCATTTTCTTGGAACTGCAAGGGTGTTAAGCACCCCAAATTCTTGTCTACTATGATGTTTTTACAAGGAGAAGTATGATCCAAATGTGGTCTGTATTTTGAAGCCAGAGATCAAAGGCTAGGATGTTATCTCGGCCATTAAGATAATTGGCTATGATTCTTGAAGAGTGTTTGATTCAGTGGGGTTAAAGGTGAAATTTGGGTGTTGTGGGATAGCATCCAGTTGAAGTTGAAAGTGAGAGGTAAACACAAATAATTTATTCACATTTCATGCTCTATAAACAATAAGGAACTGGGGTTTACCACTGCACTGTATGCAATCCCCATTGAACACGAAAGGGGCGAGCTCTGGAGCTCCCTAACGCAGCTGGAAAGAAGAATCAGCGATCCATGGCTCATTACAGGATACTTCAATTCGATCTCCAGACCAAAAGAGGAGGAGCGCCCTTTAATTTGAGCCCAGAAGAGATTTTAATTTTGTCAAAATTGGTTAGACATTTCCAGTTTCTTGCACACTGGCTCGCTCATGAAACCTTCTTCTATTTCCTTTTGGAGTCTTGGAATGGAGGAAATAGTTTCTCCTCTTCTTTGTAGGATCTTTCGAAGAAACTCAAAGAGTGGAATAAATTAGTCTTTGGGAACATCTTCATATGGAAGAGACAATTATCCAACAAGTTGAAAGTCTTGGAGCTCCTCAACCAGAGGAATCCTAGCAGCATCTCCCTCAGGAAGGAGAATAAGATCCTGTGGCTTCAGAAATTGAGAGCAAACTTTATGATCCATGGTGACAGGAACACATGATTCTTCCATCAAAGCCCGCTTAGCTGAAGAAGGAAGAATAAGATCACTTGACTTAAGGATGATATTGGCAATTGGGATACTGATCTAGATGCCTTGCAAGCAATGGTCAGGGACTTCTACATCAAGCTTTTCGAGAAGGAGGATAAGGAAGACCGACCTAGGTTTATTGCGAGCTTCCCCAAGTATTGGGAGTGCTGCTGTTGACAAAATTTGTGCTCCTCCGATCTTCTTCCAAAAGTGTTGGGAGGTTATTGGTGACAATTTTTCCAGCTTTGTGATTAACTGTTTTAGAGAACCGAGTAGGATTAGATCTCTTAATACCACTCTGCTTGCTTTGATCCCTAAGACTATTTCTCCTGCTTCTATGAGCGAATTTAGACCTATTAGCCTGCACAATATATGTTATAAAGTCGTGGATAAAATTATTGTGAATCATTTGAAACTCTTGATGCCTAAACTAGTGTTTCCTAATCTATCCATTATTGTCCCTTATCTCCATAATTGAAATTTTTTATGGAAGAGTGGACACAATGCACTACCAACGATGGCAAACCCTCTTAAGAAGAAATGTGTTCTGAATGCTGAATGTAAAAAATGAAAGGCAACTTCAGAGAATCTTGATCACCTTATGGTTCCTTGTGCATAATCTTTTGCAGCATGGGTCCATTCTAATATGGCAATCTCGATGCCATTGCCAGACACGTCATTAGTGGGCTGAGTGTTCTCTTTGAGGCATACAATTTCTTCCCAATTGGCATGCAAACTGTTTTTCTATGGATGGCAGATATGAAAGGCAATGAACTCAAATGTCTTTGAAGAGGAAATCTTCTATCCCCTGTTACCATTGTTGTTTAAGCGGAGAAGAAATATGAAGAATGTGTCACGGACCAGTTGATCACAATAACTCGAGTTGATAGGAGAGGTTCAATCGTGGCTCATATACCGTTTACTAACACACATCCCTCAAACTCAAGCCACTTGGATAGGCTTGGAGTTTGCACATGCACAGGTCTGGATACCATGTGCTTAACAGAAACAAAAACAGTTGGGGTCGTCGGGATTCGAACAGGAGACCTCTCGGTCACATAAGGCTCTGATACCATGTCAAGAACCAGTTGATCCCAATAACTCGAGTTAATGGGAGAGGTTTAATCGTGGTTCATATACCGTTTACTAACAGAATGGAGGTCTACAAGGGAGTCTGAAAATTCTGCCCATCCTTCTCGGCTAGAGGAGTCCCATCAAAACTCCGGCCCTCCACTGAGGAATTACGCCAAGGTAATCCTGTGTGTTGGAGCTTTTAGATGGAACATCCAGAAGGCAGACATTGGCATCATTATAAAAGATGCTCATGGAAGATCTATGGTGGAAGAGCTGAGAGAATTCACCGTAGAGCATCGGCGGTTGCTGAAGCTTTCGCCATCCTTGAAGCCGTTACATTAGCTACACAGGAAGAGAAGGCAACTATGATAACTTCATATTGCAAGTATTGTTGATGCTATCGGGGAGCCTCCTGAGGAATGTCCTATTGATTTTGCAGCATCCATGGTGGCAATCCAATGGCTTTTACATGAGACGGACTGATGTAACGTTGTTTTCCAATTGATAAATGTGGTTAAATAGGCAGATTTCATAACAAAGAAGGCCTGCAATGACACTTTACTTTCGGGTTGGATAGCCAGTTTCTTTGAACGTTCATGTCCTACTTTTGTTTCTCTCCTGTGTTGATTTGTTTGATGGGATTTATTTTTCAGAGTCTATGCTCCTTTTATGAACTCTTTCCCAGATTTTTTGATGGTCTTTCCCAGATTTTGGGTGCTGTGAATGATACGAGTATCATGTTTCTAAAAAAAAAAAAAAAAAAAAAAAAAGAAAACAACAAATTTCTCCCGGCGTTATCTGTATGTATTCCTCGGAAACCTGAAGGAACAGGCCTCATTGTTTTCGGCCCAATTACATGGGCGCTGAAGAATTTCTGTCAACCTATAACTCGGCCCGCTATTGCTGGTCGGTCCAGAATCTATCATCGTTGTTAATAGAAAGCGTTGCGAGTTCCAAGTTCTCCAACTTGGTGAGTTTACTTGCATCACGAGAAAATGTCATGGTTAGCGAGGTCTATCGCCAACACTCTGAAGCTCGACGACGACGACGATGCCGACGGGAATGAAGACCAGCATTACCGGAAAGCCGGCGAATCGGCAAAGGACTCGGAATCTTCTCCAACAGCTGAGTCCGATCAACATTCGCCGTCGTCGACGATCAGTTCCACGACTCCCCGCGGCGTGAAGGAAGATATCTCCGAGCTCACCAAGACCCTAAGTCGCCAGTTCTGGGGCGTCGCTTCGTTCCTCGCTCCCCCACCCGAATCTCCTACTCCTCCAACTCCTCCTCCCGCTCGCGACCAGATCTCCGATGAATCCATCGAGGAAGCCGAGAATCGGCAGCTTTTGGATCCGGACGAGACTAACGAAGCTCTGATTGAGGGAATACGGAGTGACTTTGCCGAAATCGGTGGGAGGTTCAAGTCCGGAATCTCAAAGCTATCGACTAATAAGGCGGTCTCAGAGATCACAAAGATAGCCTCGAATTTCCTGCAATTCGCAGCGGAGGGAGACGTGAACGATGAGGATTTGATTGGGAGCGCCATCGGTGTAACCGAGGATGCTGTGGCTTTTGCTAGGGATGTCTCTATGCATCCGGAGACTTGGCTTGACTTTCCCATCCCGGAAGATGATGATTTTGAGGGTAAATTGCTGTTCCCGTTTTATCTTGTTTTTAGGTTTCGAGAAATGTTAAATGTGGCTTTGGATTTTGTGTGAATTCGAAGCTGCGTAGGCTCAATTGCAGCATTTTGGTCTAGAAAGAGTCATAAAATTGTGTTGTTCCAGAATTTTGCGTCATTATGATCCAAAATGCAGGCTTTCAGCTTTTGAGTCTAGTAAGAATCATAAATTTGTGATGTTGCACAATTGTTTGAGTCATTGAGATGGTACTGGCGACATTAATGATCTTTCTGCTCATGGTTCTGCAGTCAATCAGTGGCATTTGAGAAATTGTGCTGTCTAGTAGTGTTATTGGACGCAGTTCCCTGGTTTCATCCGTTATAATCTTTTTGGTTGGTGAAAGTTGCATATATATGTAGTAGCCTGGTTAGCAGTAACTCGTCTTCTAAATACTATGTGCTCTGTTTGGGAAATCTGGTAGCTAAAGGATATGGTATAATAAGGGGATATGCAGAAACACTGCTTCCTTGATTTACCACACGCTATAGTTTAACTTTATTGTTTCTCTTGGGCTCCATTTTTACTTGAAGGGCAATGTGTACAACATCTAGAGACTTGATGTCTATTTATATTTGAAGACCTTCTCATTGCAAGTATACCATTTATTGTGTCTGTAGATTTTGACATGTCAGATCCCCAACAGGAGCATGCCCTAACTGTTGAGCGCCTTGCCCCAAGGCTAGCTGCTCTCAGGATTGAACTCTGTCCGGGTTATATGAGTGAGGACTGCTTTTGGAAGATTTACTTTGTCCTTCTGCACCCTAGACTGAGTAAAGAAGATGCTCTACTGCTGTCTACTCCACAGGTATGTTTGCGTTCTCACTTCAAGCCATTGGCAGCATCTGGAAACGGGGGCATGGATTCTCAATTTGAACTAAGCAAGCTCAACCTAATGAAATTGGAACGAGGACCAATCAAATTGCTTTAGCTTTCTCGATTGCCTGCCACTAACTTTGCAATATTTTTCTTGTAGATAATGGAAGCTAGGGCAATGTTATCCCATGAACTACAGAAGAGAGCAAAGGCAAAGCCCAGTTCAAGTTTCTCAGAACCTAGTGCTTCAGTCATATCAAAAGAAGATGGTGCCAATTCATCCCAGGAAGTGTCTCTTTCAGTGCCCTCTCAACTCGAGTTTGGTTCAAGGAACACTCCAGTTACAGCAGTGCCTTACAGTGATGTGGGTGGTGAAGCGGAAAAAGAGAAGCACCCAGTTCAGAGTATTGAGATCGAAATAGTCGACAAAGCTGTTGTTGTTGAGGAAGAAACTGTTCTCCCACAGAACAATAAGCAACAGCCCAACCCATCTACTTCTAGTCCATCTCCTGCTGCTGTGAATGATAAGTACGAGGACGATGGTGATGACTGGTTGCAAGATGAAAGTTCTGAAATGGCTGCTGGTGGTGCCAGTGGGATCGTAAAACATATTGAAGATGACGAGGATGTGTCATTTAGTGATCTTGAAGATGATGACGAAGGGGAAGTGCCTGTAACATACAAAAAAGTAACCACCTCAGATGGTTCAGCCAAAGATTCACGGGACTGGGTTGAGCTGAGCAGTGGTTCAAGTGATTCGGTGAAGGATATTAGCCCTGTGGATGCAAAGAGTGGTGGCCCCGGACAGGCAAGTTCTCGACCCTCCGAGAACAGGGAAGCTAATGATTGGCTTGATGTGGAAGACATTGACGTGATTTGATTGATGAATGGGGATTATGCCTTAAGAAAGGTGAGCCTTTTCTCCTGTCTTTTTCCTTTTCTTCTGCTGCTGTGAATATCCTGTCCTGCTGCATATGGTGTCCTCTCTCTTCAATCTGTGTTTGGCCAAGGGAAACTTCTCTACGTTTGTACATATAATCTGAAGCTGAAGTTGGACGGTATGGTGCTCATGAAATGTGTATCTGTGCTGTGTAATAACTTTTACCATCCATGTATTTGCTGTTCCATTTCATTCTGTGAAATCATTTTAGTTGCTTGTCAATGGAGCCAATAGCTTCTCTCCATCGTTATGGCCGCTCCTCTATAACCAGTGTAGCTTGGTTGCTGCTCTCTAGTATGCTATTTAACCGATAAGGTACCATATTAAAGGCAGTAGTAGAATGAATGAAGAAGCAGGGTCTAGGATTCTGGTTTTGACGTCACTTGTGGTGACTGTTTCCTTGACTATTTCTATCCACTTTGTAATGTTACAATCTGTTCCTAATTCACAGCAACGTGGTTTAGCCACAGCTCCTTAGGAATAGCAGTAGTTAGTTGAGTCTCTCTAATGTATAAGTTTCGTTCATCAATAACACGAGACACTTTTTTGCGACTAAATTGCAAGTTTGGTCACTAGAATTACTTATCAAGTTTACGTTTGCCACTAAAATTAATTTGTTTCATCCCTAATCACTTAAATTAGGTTAACAGTTCAAATTTGGTTACTGGCCGTTAGTCTCCGTTAACTTTTGTTGATGTGGCAGTCAACTCTTATAATTGACCGTTAAATGAGTGACGTGGTAATTAAAAAAGGGTTAATATTTTCGTATGACCTGAACTTTGAACAAAATAAACATCCTGACCAATTTTTTCTATCTATAACATCATGTCCCGAACTATACACCAAAATAAACAATTTGTCCAAACCCGATGTTTGACCGTTAACTTGGATGGTCAAATGTGTTGATTAACAGTCAACGCGCCACGTCACTGCCAAGTCAGAAGATTTGATAAATATTTAATTTTTTTGTTTTTTATTTTTGGTTTAACTAAGGTATTAGATGATTTTTTAATTTATAATAATTTAAAATTAGAGAATGTGTTGAAATTGTGAATTATTTTAAATATTTTATGCTGACTTGGCAGTGACATGGTGCGTTGACTAACGGTCAACGCGTTTGACCGTCCAAGTTAACGGTCAAAAGTCGGATCTGGCCAAATTGTTTATTTTGGTGTATAGTTCGGGCCAGGATGTTATACATCGAAAAGATTGGCCAGGATGTTTATTTTCGTCAAAGTTACGAAAATATTAACCCATTAAAAATAATAAAATAATAAAAAATAATTATTTTTTTATTTTCCAGCTAATTATTATAAATTAAAAAAAATAACAAATAACGATGAGGAACCTGGTCCCGCGGCCCCACGCCGTCGTACGGTCGTTGGCGGTGGCGAAGGTGGAGCGGCTGAGGAACCTTTTTATAACGACGAGGGCGTTGGCGGAGGCGAGGTGGCTGGTTGAGCACAGGAACAACTTACGAGTGCGCACCACATGTTGGCGTCGACGAGGGCGCTGCTGTTGCAGTCGGAGAGCGGTGAGAAGAAAAGAAGAACAACAGAGTTTTTGCTAGGGTTTTTGGTGAAGGTTCTCAAAACTTGAGATCTTCATTTTTTGGATTTCTCATTATATACCCAACAGCCTGTACAGAGGAAATGGAAACCAACGGCTAATCTACAGTGTTTAACTAACTAATCAAAAACAACCAATGAAACGGAAACACGTGTCTACAAGACACAATTAAATTGTAATCAACGAACAGAGCAGGATGACGTCGTTCAAGCCACCTCTGTCTCTTATTGATGAAACGCCTTCGTTTTGCTCCAAAGCTACTTTGCGGATTAGAGCAAAACGCCGTCGTTTCTTCTGGGCAAGTGTTCTTCAGTTGCAAGGGTCTTCAACCTGCAGCACCAGCCTTCTCTTCACTTCTCCTTGATTCAATCTTCAGCTGCTGCTGCTACTCGATGTTCATTCATCTATTACCCCCCTTCAAGCTGGCGAGTGTCTTCCAGATACTCCCAGCTTGCACATCAGCATGTTAAAACGATCTATACCAAGGCTTTTGGTAAAGATGTCTGCCAGCTGATAGGTAGTTGAAATATGTCTCAGTTCAAGCAAACCATTCATCAGTCTTTCCCTAATGACATGACAATCAACCTCAATATGTTTCGTTCGCTCATGAAAGACTGGATTCCTGGCAATGTTTATTGCTGAATGATTGTCACAATAAACCAAGGCTGGTTGAGAGTGAACAATTCCAAAGTCAGAAAGTAACCTTACCAACCATTGAACCTCACAACTGAGCTGAGCCAAAGCTCGATATTCTGCTTCTGAAGAAGATCTGGAAACTGTACTCTGCTTCTTTGTTTTCCAGCTAATCAGACTTGTCCCCAGAAAAACACAAAACCCTGTCAATGATCTTCTTGAATCAGGACATGTGGCCCAATCAGAATCTCTGTACCCTGTTAATTGCACAGCAGAATCCTTGGAATAGAACAGGCCTTGATCAGGTGAATTGCTCAAGTATCTAAACACCCTCTGCAAGGCTTTGTAATGTACTGTAGTTGGTGAATCTTGGAATTGGCAAAGCTGTTGAACAACAAAGCTTATGTCTGGTCTAGTGTTTGTCAAATACCGCAACTGTCCTAGCAAGTGTTTGAACTTGCTAACCTCCAGGAAAGGATCACCATCTGAAGCTGAAAGGACTTGTTTTATGCTGGAAGGGGTTTTAGCAGGTTTGCACTCATCAAACCCTGCCTCCTTCAAGAGTTCTGTGCAGTATTTCCTTTGAGAAACATGGATTCCGGTGGCAGTTTTGTTCACTTCCAAGCCAAGGAAATATTGCAACTCTCCTAAGTCCTTCATTTTAAACAAGGACTTCAGCATGTTTTTAACTGAAATGACTGCTTCCAGATTCACACTACCAACCACAATATCATCAACATAGACAATAAGGACTACCAGATGTCCTTTAACCTCAGTTAAGAAAATTGAATAATCAGACATGGATTGTCTAAATCCATTAGCAAGCAAAGATTCTGTCAATTTGGCATACCACATCCTGTTGGCTTGCTTCGAACCATAGAGAGACTTTTTCAATTTGCAAACCTTTCCCTTGTATTCAGGCTTATCCCTCATGACTTCTGGCAGTTCCATATACACATCCTCATCCAATTCACCATTCAAGAAAGCATTGTTAACATCCATTTGATGCAAATGCCAGTTGTTAACAGATGCAACAGCAAGCAACATTTTCACAGAAGTCAACTTAGCCACAGGTGAGAAAGTATCACAATAATCTATGCCATACACTTGTGTGTATCCTTTGGCAACCAATCGTGCCTTAAACCTTTCAATTGTTCCATCAGGATTATACTTAATCCTGAAAACCCACCTGTTGCCAACTGCCTTCACTCCCCCTGGCAAGTCAGTGATGTCCCAAGTATTATTGTCAAATAAAGCTTGCAATTCCTCAATCATGGCTGCATTCCACCTAGGATCTTGAGCAGCCTCAGCATAACAGGAAGGCTCAAAGGCTGCTGCAAGGGCTAAAGCAAAGTGCTGTTGTTGTGGTGAAAGATGAGCCAAGTCTGGAGGGATAACCAACTTGGGACCAAAACTGACTTGGTTCAAACCCACATAGAAGTCATCATACTTTTTAGGAAATATTACTTGCCTTGTTGATTTTCTAAGGGGTACTACTGGTGGGGTTGGAGGAGTGAGAGGAGGAGCAGGAGTGGCAGATAAATCAGAAGAAGAAGAGGAGGAACCTCTAACTGAAGTATCTGAACTTATAGGTGAGGGGGAAATTGGTAAGGTGAATTGGGGTGATGTGGTGACAGAAGGAGAAGAATATTCTGTCAACTCAGGTTCAAAAGGTGGTGAAGAACCAGAACAAGAAGGTTCTTCTGGACATGAAGAAGACAAAGGAGCAGAAGAGGGCTGTGAGGGAAGCTCTTCTTCTGCAGAATCTGAGTCAGATGTGCCTGTTTTGAAAGGCAAAATCTGCTCATGAAAAACAACATCTCTGTTAACAAAGACTTTGTTGGTAGCCAGATCCAACAACTTGTATCCCTTAATGCCATTAGGGATTCCTAGAAAGACACAGTGTCTAGACCTAGGATCAAACTTGGACTTATGACCCTCTACTGCTGTAGCATAAGCTAGACAACCAAACACCCTTAGATTCATATAGTCAGGGGGAACTTTATGCAAGACTTCAAATGGTGTTTTGTGGTCCAGGATAGGTGTTGGTGTTCTGTTAATCAGGTATGCTGCATGAAGAACAAAATCTCCCCAGAAAACCAAAGGCAAGCCTGACTGAAACTTTAAAGATCTAGCAACATTAAGCAAATGCTGGTGTTTTCTTTCTACCCTCCCATTTTGTTGAGCTGTATAGACACAGCTCATTTCATGAACAATACCATGAGCTGAGTAAAAATCAGTCATGTGAAATTCTTGACCTTGGTCTGTTCTAATGGTCTTGACAGAAACAGAAAATTGGTTTTGAACCATAATAAAGAAAGATTGGAGAGATGGTCTGGCCTCAGCCTTTGATTTAAGAAGGAAAACCCATACTGCTTTACTGTAGTCATCCACAACAGTGAGAAAATAGGAAAAACCATCCCTAGAAACTGTATTCAATGGTCCCCAAATGTCAACATGCACAAGTTCAAAAGCATGAGTACTAACTGAGGTGCTTACAGGAAATGGCAACCTCTTTTGCTTAGCCAAATGGCAAACTTCACAATGTTGTGTTAAAGGTAAAGCAACATCATTACAACTTTGTTTGACTACTCTCAATCTAGACAAGGAAGGGTGTCCTAATCTGGCATGCCAGATGTTAAATTCCTGATTCTGGAAATTGAACACTCCTGCTGCAAACTTCTGGGAATCCTTAGAAACTTCAAACTTCTGACTCTTGGACTCTGTAAACAGGTAAAGACCTCTACTGACTTGGGCTAAACCAATCCTCCTCCGAGTAATAAGGTCCTGGATTAAACAAAAGTTTGATTTGAAAGTTAATGAAACTGGATGGTTTTGTGTTAACTTGCTTACAAAAACTAAATTGTAAGCAAAAGAAGGAACAAACAGGACTTGAGTGATGAATAACCCACAAGGCAAAGTAACAATTCTTATGTGAGTAGCTTGGACTTGCTGTCCATTTGGCAAATTCACAAAAACTTTATCCAAAGCTTTATGTTTCATAAAGAAACTTTTATCACAAATGATGTGATCTGTTGCCCCTGTATCCAGGACCCAAACTGTGCTACTAGGTGATTCAGCCATAGTAGAGAGAGCTTGTTTACCTGAAGAATTAGAGGCATAGGTTGCTGGAGCCTAATAACCAGCAGATTTCTTCCCAGTGTTAGAAGAAGACTGTGATCCTCTCACTGCCACAGCAGCATGATGCATTCCTGGTGAATTTGGTGGTGAAGGTGATGCAGAAGTTGACCTGGTGAGCATGGTTCTAAGCTGCTCAAACTGATTAGGAGTAAGCAAACTCAGCAAATCTGCTTCTCCCTTACCTCCACTAGAGCCAGTTGTATG